TGGAACAAGTGCAGCTGGAACACTGTTTAGATGTGAGAATGACCAGACTTCATCTCATCTACTTTGATTACATTAGAAGGGACCAATCTTTAGAGAATATCATGCTTGGTGTGGTATTTAAGTTTGTGTGTCAGCTTGGCTGGGCCATGGATTTGAGTGTAGTTATTCCCTATGATGAGATTGCAATCCCCACCAAGGTAGAATCTGCTGTGAGCCCCTAAGTAGTTGTCTTTGAGGTGTGGCCTGATTCCAGTATACAAGAAGCATTGAGAAAGATCTCTGCTTTGACATGTCTGGACCCTGCATTTGGCCAAGTCTTGGTCTGCTGTGCTGCCTGCCAATCTTGAGATTGTGCCATTTTGTCTGTTGGTTTTGGGTTTGCTAGCCTCAGCAGCCAGGAGCTATCTGAGTCAGAAAAAGCCTCTAGCTCCAGTGGGCCTGGAACAGGAGGCAGAGCTGAAACCCAAGGTTAAGGGGCCTTCACCCAAACCCGAAAGCCTGCACTTAAAACTTGGACTTCTAGCCTCCTAACATGTAAGAGAATAAATTCCTTTTTGTTAAAGCCATCCAGTTGTGGCATTTCTGTTGTAGCAGCACTAGAGAACCAAGACACTAGGTAAAGTAAAGTATTCAGCGAAAAAGGGGAAGACACTCAATGAGATGGATTGACACAGTGGCTACAATGATGGGCTCAATTAGCATGTCAGGGGTTGTGAGGATGGCACAGGACCAAGCAGTGTTTCATTCTGTTGTACATAACATCTCTACGTCCCTGGGTGGTGCAAATGGTTAAGTGTTTGACAAGTAACCAAAAGATTACAGGTTCAAATCTTTCCAGAGATGCCTGGAAAGAAAGGCCTGACTGGCCATCCGCTTCAAAAAAATCAGCCATTGAAAACCCCATGGAGCAGAGTTCTACTCTGAAACACACAAGGACACCATGAGCTGGAATTGACTCAATGGCTACCTGTTTAGTTTTTGAGAAGTGTATGAAAAGTAACTATTTTTCTGCAGCCTTTACTAATACACAATTTTAGAAGTTTTTTTGGGGGGGAGGGATAATGATTTATTTGATATTTATGAATAATAATTTTTTATTTTAATCTGAGTTTACTTGATTTCTGGTGAAGTTAAGCATTCTTGCTGCATGTTAATTTGCCATTTATGTTTATTCTCGTATGAATTAACTATAAGATCCTTTGTCCAATGTCAAATTAGGGCCTTCATCTTCTTCTATTGGTTTGTAAGAGTTTTCACTATGTTAAGTCTATGAACATATATCTGCCATACACATTAAAAGTGTGTTTCTCAGTTTATTAGTTGCCTTTCAATTTTGTTTACCTTAGTTATTGACAGACTGCACATGGTCTGCTTGCCAGATATTTTCTTATATGACTCAGTGACATTTCAAACTCAATATACCCAAATTGAGACTCACTGTTTTCCCCCACCCCCAACCTGCTCTTCCTGCTGACTTGCTTATTTCTGTTTATGTCACTCCCATCTTCCTAGTCACCCAGGCTTGAAATGTTAGTCATCTTTGATTCCACTGCTCTCTTTTCCCTCACATTCACTTAGTTGCCAACTCCTATAGCTTCTATGTCATCCATTTCTCTGGCAGGCAGCCCCTCAAACACAACAGTAGTTCAGGTTCCCATTATTTCTTGATTGGACTTTGAAATAACCTCATAAATGCATAGTCTGTCTTCCTAATCCCAGTCCTTCCATGCTCTCTTTTCCTTGCACTCTCCTGTCCAGTGTTACTACATTAATCTTCCTAAAGTAGAGGACATAGAGTTCCCTGGTTAAAAACTGGCAATAGCTCCTCATTGTCTTTTGTATTTAATTACAACCTCATAACCTGGCCATAATTTCCATTCAACCATATCTCCCACTACCTCAGTCAAGCTGTCCCCCAACAAGCTCATTACTGTCCTGCTCCTTTAAGCTCCTTCAAGCTATCCTCTCCTCCTGGAATTCCTTCTTACCATCTCCACCTACCAAAGTCCATTCCAAAAAGCTCCCAACCCACTTGCAGCTATTCCAGGATTTCTTGACTCTTAATTGAAGTGGATTCTTCTGTCGTTGAACTTCTCTTGGAGAGCAAGTTTCACTCCATCATATGGTGGACTGCTTTAAGATCTTAATCTCCTACTAGGAAGCAGAGTTCTTGAGAGCAGTGTTCCTATACATCTTTTTTTTTTTTTTTTTTCCCACAGGGTCCACATGGTGCCCTGCTGTGGTATATGTGCAGTAGGCATTTGTAGAATTAAGAACAACACTCCAGGCAACTGAATGCCCAGTGATCATGGCCACTGCCACTTCTAACCCCACTCCCAGCCTCCTGGGATAGGGCACTCTTATGAGGCAATAAACCAAAACTTGTTACCAGTGAGTTGATTCCAACTTATGGTAACCCCAGAGTAGAACTGTGCTCTATAGGGTTTTCAGTAGCTGAATTTTTCAGAAGTAGGTAGTTAGGACTTTCTTCTAAGGTATTTTAGGTAAACTTGAACCTCCAACCTTTTGATTAGCAACTGAGCCCATTAACCGTTTATACTACTTATCTCCTCTGCAGGAGGCTTAGCTGGGCTGAGAGCCCATTGGTACCAGGGACTGGACCACAGTCACCTCTTTATTCTCATGACCTGTTATTGAAGCCAAAGGGATACCCAATTCATTCATCTCTTCATGCTCTTTGCCTCATGAATGCAGTTCCTGACCCATGATAGTCCATAGTTAGCTGCTGGGGAAAGACTCTCAGGGAGTCTCATGGAAAAGGAGACCTTGGAATCAGAGTTGAATGGCAGCTAGAGGGTGCTGGTGGCCTCTGTGACCTTGACCATGCATGATGCCTGGAACAGTTTAATATATTTAAATAGAGTCAATATTGGGGTCAGCTTCATCCACGGAGTATTCCTCAGCTTTAGAGGTGACTCTGTAGCCACACAGGAGTGTGCAATCGACATAGTCTATTTTTAGCCTCTCAGAGACCGTGACCAACATCCCAAGCCGAGGGTGGCCACACCTGCTGCATTCTAATGAGGCAGCTCCGCTTGCCTCTGCCAGCAGCCTGGGATCTTGCAGACCTGAAATCTATTGTTGCTAAACTGGGAAGTCCGCTTATTTCCCAGAGGCAGTAGCCTAGATATACCAGCAAAATGGGACCATCACATTCCCCCCAGCTCACTTCCCTCTGTCTTCGGCCCCAGGAGAGTGTTGGGTGACTGTGCTCATAGGATGATGGAGGAGACAGAATCACTTGGTTTTCTTGATCTTACTCTGTCCTGGAATCCCATTTCTCCCGTTGGAAAGCAGATAGTAAGTCTGAGCTGACCCAGCTCACAGATGAGAAAATAGAGGGACAGAACTTATATAATCTGAATAATGATAACAATAAGAAAAAGTAAGAGTACTTACTATGTGTCACACAATGTTCAAAACTCTTTACATATACTAAGTCATCTGAGCCGCACAACTCTATCAGATAAGTTTTATTATGATCTGTATTTTATAGAGGAGGAAAACGAGGCACAATGCTTTCCCAGTATCATACAGGCAACAAGTGGCAGGGCTGGGTTTCAAAAGTGGCCCTGGGGTTTGTGCTCTTAAGCACTTTGTCATCTCAATATATATTTTAAATTTTACTATGGCCAAGATAGGGTCCTGGATCCCTGACTTCCAGCCCCAGAGAACCTATTACTTCTCTGTAGCTGTTCTAAATTCTGCCCCATTTTTTGTGCCTTGTGTGTCTGGGTTTCCTATAGTCTTGGGAACTATGCTTCTGCTGGGACATTTAAGCTACTGGGCACAAGTTCTGCCCCTGACTTACCTCATGATATGAGGCAAGTACCTTTACCTCCTGAGCATCTACCTCTTTCTCCCATCCTCCCCTTAGCCTGTGGTGTAAGAGGGCCAGTCAATGATGGGCAATGGCAATAAGAAGTAGAGCTGAATTGAATGTCAGGTCTGGGGAGCACATAAGGAACGGTAATTGACAGTGGCCAGGCAGGAGGTTAGGAGAGCTCTGGTAGCGTAGTGCTTAAGACACTTGACTGTTAAGCAGAAGGTTGGTGGTTCAAACCCACCAGCCACTCCTCAGAAGGAAGGTTGGACAATCTACTTCTGTAGCGATACTGTTTTGGAAACCCAAGGAGGGGTCGCTATGAGTCAGGGCCGACTTGACGGCAGGTAACAACAGGCAGGAGGTTGGTCACCAGGGTGGGCATTCATGGTGCTGAAGTTCAGGGTAAAATGTAAATCAGAAACTAGGAATGAGGAGGAGGACCAAAGAGATTTGCATTTTGAGGGGCTGAGTCCCAATTCAGCCAGATATTACCTGTGGGCTGGGAGGAACCCACAGGCTTGCACTTCCTAAGAATGCAGGTGGGACTTGCCGTTATTTATAGTTTCACAAGTACTTTCTATGCACCAGGATCTTTCTAAGCATTTTGCAAATATGAAATTGTCTAATCCTCAGGATAACTCTAGGAGGGGGCACCATTTTATTTCCAGTTTAGAAATGGGAAAACTGAGGTACCAAGTTTAGGCAATAACTTTGTCTAAGCTCATATAGCTAGTAAGAGGCAGAGCTAAGATTCAAGCCCAAGCAGCTGGGCCCTGGAATCTACACTCTTAGGCACCAGATGTTATTCATCTTTCCCTTTACAGAGTGTTTATCATTTGGCTGTAAAGGAAGGTGCTGTTACTCCCATTTGATAGATCTACAAACTGAGGATTAGATCAGTTCCAATCATAGAGTATATCCAATAGAAGAGGGAAATGGGTTAAATCCAGGTCTGCTCAAGTCCCTGGTACCATGCTGTCTCTGTAAATTACAGCCATCAATCTGACTTGATGGGCTTGAGAGGGCTTCAGGAACGACTACTATGGTTGATTGGAGCTGGGCTCAGAAAAGGGGGAGGAAAGTGGAGAGAAATCTTGGAGGGCGGGACTTTGTTGCCTCTATTAACCCGAATCCCCCCTTCTTTTCCCTTTAGGTGAACAGTCCCCCATCCCAGCCCCCTCAGCCTGTCATCCCACCCAAGCCTGTGCAATGTGTCCATCATGTGTCCACCCAACCCAGCTGCCCAGGGCGAGGCAAGATGTCCAAGCTGCTTAACCCAGAAGAGATGACCTCAAGAGATTATTACTTCGACTCCTATGCCCACTTTGGGATCCATGAGGTAAAACTTCCAGAGCTAGTGGCTGAATGGGGAGAAACTTGGCACTGCTGTTACATCATTGTTTTCTGAGGCAGCATAATACATTCAACTCTTTATTACCATAAAGTGACCCGAGGCCTCTGACCTTCTGTCCATCCTGTGGAGGGGCTCAGGGCTAGGCATGGAGCAGGTGAGTAGTGAAAGCATGTGCCTGTGTGTTTCACAGCCAGAGAGCAAGGGGTGTTTAGGGTTTACTTGTTTTATATTCCAGCACCTGTGTCTCATCCTGACCATAAACCAAGATAATCTAATGTAGACTCAATTCTTGCTCCAGGAACTCAAACACTTTGCAGCAGAATTCTAAGGCTCAAAGAACCTTCCAGAAGTCATACTGTCCACTGTCTTTAGGCAAGGATGAACCCTCAGGTGCTTCTTAGACCAGTGAGTGCCTCCAGGGGAAGTAATGCAGCAAGCTTGTTTGGTAACCTGGCCCAGATCTGATACCCTGACTGATTCTCAGGAAATTTTTATGTCTAAATGCTTATCTTAGACTATACCAGGGAGGATTTATGTTAATGACGAAACAGAACAGAACTTCCTAACAAGAAGCTTGCTGACTATCTGGTGGCACAAGAGTATTTTCATCCACTTTGTGGTCTCCAGGACTCTCTCAAGCTACCCCAAAGAAACAGCTAACACCTACTTAGTGCTTACTAAGTGTCAGACACTGTTCTAAGCACATTATATGTATCATTTCATGTAGTCCTCATAAGAACCCTATGAAGAAAATTATTCTAGTATTGATAATGCTGCACCTATAGGATATAAGGAAAATGTTTTAAAAAATGGAACAAAAGTTTGCTTGCTATGTAAATGCATTGCCAAGACAGATCTCAAAGCTCTTCCTTCGTCAATCCTTTTCTATACTGAAATGGTGATACTGCCATTGCAGTTCCAAGTGTTTTATGTTCCTGACTCATTTATTCTTCTGATCAACCCTGTGTTGTTGTTATATGCCATCGAGTCGGCCCCGACTCATAGCGACCCCTCCTTGGGTTTCCAAGGCAGTATCACTATGGAAGTAGGATTGCCCAACCTTCCTTCCGAGGAGTGGCTGGTGGGTTTGAACCACCAGCCTTCTGGTTATCAGTCAAGTGCCTTAGGCACTATGGTGGCATTATTACTATCCCCATTTTACAGGCGAGGATCCTCAACCTTCAGAATCGGATCGCTCATTTGTCCTTGCTGGTTCCTTTGAGCAAGGTCACACAGCTTGTAAGTAATAGAGCTAGGAATTCAACCTTCATATTTTGCCCCACAGCCTTCATTCCTAACCACCACACCATACAGACTTTAAACAAATCTTGCTTTCTTTCAGGAAACCTTATAAATCACATTGACTCATTTGTTTTTGCTAGTTCCTTGGTAGCCTCACATGGAGGTAGAGGGTGGAAGAAGGGTCCCTCAGTTACTTTAGACTGAGGGGTCTAGCCTCATTTATCCTAGGAAGGCCCAGGGTTTGGGTCCCTGAGAACTGATCTCTGCATAAAACCATTAGGCTTGAGATCGACAGGGAAGGATGTGGTTCAGTTCTGAGGGTCTTGGCTCAGAAACATCTGGGAAGCTGAGAGTTTCACCTTTGATGACTTGAATGCTATCTTTGGGCTGGCAGGTGAACAGTTGTATCTTCCTTGATCCTGCTCCCCATTGGGATAGGGATTTGGGTAAGTGCACAGAGCCCAGTCCCTAGACTTCAGTCCAGAACTTGTCACATTATCTGAGTGTAAAGGTTTGTTGACAAAGCTGGTAATCTAGTCACTCAGGTGATGCCTGGTCAACACCATGGCTGGGCACCCAGAAGGTATGATTTCCACCAAAGTTCATCAGATCACCAAAGGTCATCGGATAACTAGCAGACCAGATTCCTCAATTTCAGGTATTTGATAGAAAAATCAAACTTGTATATGAACATATATAAACACTACAGATTGAGCACAGGATTTAAAAGAATTACAGATCATATATATTTCTTTAGCAACCTGTTCTAGAGGAGACCTTTGCAACCCTAATAATAGGAAGTACTTCTGAATACATAATTTAAATCCCTCCTGCTGCAACTGCAGACCATTTCTAGACCCTGGCTTATGATGAAATGCATAAGTCCTTTAATATAGGAGTGGCTAGCTAGCATTTCTTCATCCCTGAAGTTTCCCACCACCATATTTTCTTTCTCTGATATCCTCTGGTATGAGAGAAATGAGAGAAGTGATAAAGCACATGGATAGACTCTTAACATTATTCTTTGCAGAGAGAGGGCCTGCTCTTTCCTGTTATCAAACACCAGGGATCTCTATTCTGTGCCAGAATGTTTGCAGCAATGCCTTCTCGATCTGGGCAAGACCCATATTTCACCATCCAGAGTGGAGCTGGCCGTTTGGCAGTCTTCTCCCATCATTAACAAGATGCTAACACGGGTGGTCAGTGCTGCCAGCTTGCTGATTAATAGTGATCAGTGAGTGTTTAGGAAACATGATGTGGGATAGATTGGGGTTGATTAGTCTATAAATACAAATAGGAGGCTCAGGGCTGGAGAAGGGGCTGTTAGGGGTTGAAGAGGACAACAGAAGGTAATTCTGCACACTTCTGTTCTTCCTGTCCCATGGCTCAATCCAGAGATGACACCATACTCAGCCTCCAGAGGGCAGGGCCCTAAAGAGAGGAGGGCTGTGGCTTTCCATTGCAGAAGAATCTTGAGCAGGAACAGAAGTGACAGAGGAGATGTGCATTTACTGGCCTCAGCACTGAGAGGAGTGGCAGGCTCCATGACCTCCCAGATCCCAGCTCTAAATTCTTAGCATCTCTGATAGTCGGTGCTGGGCTTGGTGCCTCAGCTGCTAGAAAAATCCTTGTCAATGTGGCTGTGCTCCCAGCCCCCAAGCCCTGGGCTTGTGTCCCACTCCCAGACAGCTCCCTTCTTTTGACAATCTTGCTTCAGGTTCTTTTGAAATAGACTCTTCAGAGCCTCATTTCCCAGCAATTAGTCAATGTGCTGTCATGTGTTTAATAGGCAGAGAAACTGGGCAACAAAGTCATCCACAGCTGGGGGCTGGGAATTATTTTCAACAAAGAGTGACATGTTCTTGTCTAAAATTTCTTGAGATTTTTTTGGACTATTCTCCCATGGATGATTAACTGAGAGGTGGAAGAAGTGGAGAGGTTTTTTTCTTTTTTTTTCTTTTAAGAGGCCAGTTGGGGGAAAGAGATGTCTGGAAGCCTTGCTAAGTCACAACTTCTATTTTCTCAGAATATGCACCTTTAGATCTAACTCCTGTGGTCTGAGGCCTGAGGAAGGAAGGAAGGAAGGGGACCACATAGGTGAAAAAACTGTGATAAACTAAACAGAAGAACAGAAGGCACTTGAAGTGTTCACTTTTAGCAAAAAAAAAAAAAAAAAGATCTCCAGAGATGCCAGGCCAATCTATCTCTATGCAGGAAAGACACTAGAACTGCTTCTATCTGCAATATTTGTAAACCAAAAGCAACATTATACCTACTGCTAGGATTGAGAGATTTCAGAAATTTTTGTCATTATTTTGCTTCATTACCCTGCCCTCTCTCAACTAGTTTTCTGCATGGACAAAAAAGGTCGTACTTATCACAAAACACAAGAGCCAATACTTTTATAGCACTTACTATATTCATTTAATCACAGCAATCCCCCTCTGTAGTTCTTATTACCCCATTTTCCAGATGAAGATATTGAGACTTGAGGCTAAATGTTGTTCTGGATTGTTGTCGTTGTTGTTATGTGCCATCGAGTCGGACCTGACTCATAGCGTCCCCTCCTTGGGTTTCCAAGGCAGTATCACTATGGAAGTAGATTGCCCCATCTTCCTTCTGAGGAGTGGCTGGTGGATTTGAAACACCAGTCTTCTGGTTAGCAGTCAAGTGCTTTAGGCACTATGCTACCAGAGATGAAAAGCAGTCGAAATAAGATTTAAATGCAGGAATTCTGGCTTCAGAATCTGTGACACTAACCTCTATACTGAACTGTCTTCCTATTGAAAACCAACTATGCCCCATGCTCTGTGTCCGGTGCTGGGTATGGCTATCTTGCAGCCTTATGGCTTCATAATCTTCTTGAGGTCTTATAGTTTTCCAGTCTAGCAGTCTTGTGGTATTTGGTCTCAGGAAGAGGCTTGAGCTCACCTTCAAAGTATTTGAAACTAGAAATGAAATCAATCTAAACAAACTTCTAGTAAGATCAGAGACATCAGTTTCTGGCAGCACAAGAAGCATTAGCTGGGCTGAATGGCAAATTCAAAACTTTTTCATATCTTTTAGAGTCTCTTCATATCTTTAAATTTTTTTTTGTATTCTAAGACCTTGACAGAGAAATTAAAGCCATAATCCCTTCCCAAACCTTCTCAACTTCTGATTGGATTAGACTGACCAGCCCATCACTCCAGTGCCTAACAAAGGAAAGGGCATTCACTCTTAGGAAAAAAAAATCTACTTCAGACACTACTACTCCTTAGACACAATGTGATGTGATGTATAGAATAATATAAGAAACGTGAAGAAACAGGGGAATGTGATCTGTAGTCAAGAGAAAAATGTCAGTAGAAACAGAGCCACAAATACCCAGATGTTGGACTAATCCAACAAAGACTTTAGGACAACTATAATAAATATTCTTTTAAAAACTCTCTGGGAAAAATAGATATAATGGGTAAAATTTTATAACTGAAAAATACAATATCTAAATCAAATATTCATTCCAAAACCAAAAACCAAACTTACTGCCGTAGAGTTAGATCTGACTCATAGTGACCCCTCCTTGGGTTTCTGAGGCAGTATCACTACAGAAGTAGATTGCCCAATCTTCCTTCCGAGGAATGGCTGGTGGGTTTGAACGGCCAGCCTTCTGATTAGCAGTCAAATGTCTTAACACTATACCAGATGGGATTAATAGCAGATAGTGAGCATAGAAGAAAAGATCTATGAACTTAAGGAAAGTC